TGCCGCGAACTGGTCAGACTCCGTGAAAGCGCGGTTCCCCGTGTTGTGTGGGCACAACGAATACCGATGGAAATCCGATTCAGCAGCCTCCGAGCATCGATCACACTTCCGAAGGACAGATGTTAGCGGCATGCTTGCGTGCTTTAGTCCAACGTCCAGCAACTGCAGCAGTGAGCATCAACCCAGACAGCGGCTGGCAATTATCAACAGACGGCAAATCACGAGTGAACTTCCGAAGACGGACAAGATCCGCTCCATTCTCCAGTCCTGATCCACAAAGCAGCTCAGCAGCGAAACGCCACTGCCGCAGCTCGAGACACCCCTCAAACTCACGGAGTAGGTCATCGGCCTGATCAAGCTAACATAATGCCTCATCGTCGAAACACCAGGCATGCTGTCCACAATCATTCGTCAAGACCCACCCGGAAGGAGTCTGAGGATCCCAGCCCGCCTGCAGTAGGTAAGCCACCACAGTAGAAACAGGACCCCGAATAAATCCAGATCTCTGAACTTCTGTGGCACTCTTGATATGCTGAACCACCGACGGCCAAACGCGGTACACACTAGGGCGGACCTTGGGTTCGGCGATCCAGATCTGCAGCCATTGGGCTAAACACTGACGCGAGAGGGGATTGCCAGGCTCAGCTGCATCGTCCTCGTCGAACCGAACCTGAAGCCGTTGTCAGTCGCCGACGTTGGTGCACAGTCGCGCTGCCGAACATGCCGTGGACCTGATGCCCGTAGGAGGCAACGGCTTGCGGTCCTGCACGTTCGGCTCGAGCTGTAACCCAGAAGCGTCTGGAGGCTGCGGCGAAACGGCGTAGGCGCCCATGCTGCGCCCTCGCCTTGCCAGCCCGCTTGCGCGCTGTAGCCCGTGCTGCACGCCGTCCTGCCCCCATGTCGACGCCGAGGTGGGCGGCCTGCAGCTCAGCCTTGGGGTGGATTCCTCTCCTCCTCAGCAGCTTGACAATCATCTTGGCGCCGGCGCGAGACGAACATGCGATGGCGCTCTTGCTCGCGATGCCGAGAGGCGCCTTCGCAAACTCGGCGACGGTGTCCACGACGCCTGCAACAAGTGTGTCTCGCACATGCGTACGCGAGCCCACTACCTTCTGCGCCAAATCATGTATCCAAATCCGTCCAGACATGTGAGGATGCGCTGTGCACAAACATTCGAGAGCAAAATAGGTGAGGCAACGGCCGAAGCGGATGTCGCTCCGCAAGCTCTGCACCACGCTCCGCGTGGGTTGAAAAAGGACAAGGAGAAAGACTGAAATTGGGAGACCACACGGGGAGCCGCACAGATCTGCATCTCCAAGAAAAAAATCACTGGAGGGAAGCTCATAGGTGCGGCTGCATCTGCCAGTGCCTCGAACTCAGTACTATCGTAGAACGAGGCAACGTCCAGCAGCGCCTCGCCATGAGCTACGCCCCATCCGAGACTATACATCGTACTTGAGAGATCGCAGAAAAAGCTTTCCTAAGGGCGCTGTTGTCCGCGACTGTAGCATCCCAGTGCGGGGCAGTGTCAGCGGTCCATTGCCGCGTCTGTCCTTCTCTGGCCATGCTCCATACTCTGCAAATCATGGTGATCAGGCCTATGACGCGGTCGCCTCCTCCCTTCTTGGCGAGGAGGCGACACATCACGATGAGAAGTTGCCAAGGCCACGACATGTCTTGCTCTACCATGAGAAAGAGCTGACAAAGGTCCTCCAGGCCCGCGTCTGGGAGTCGTTCCAGGTCGACATTCGAGAGCTGGTCCGCTCCGAGGCCTGCCCGGGCCTTCATGCGACGCAAGGCCTGGCGGGGTCTGCAACAGTGAGGGGATCGAGCTGCTCGATCTCACGCAGCTGCCTAACGCTAGCCATGGTGTCTTGAAACTTGGAAGCTGTCGAATCAGGAGGAGGGGGGGTGGGAGGAGGAGGAGGAGGAGGAGAAGGAAGAGGAGGAGGGAGGAGGAGGAGGAGGAGGAGGAGGAGGGAGGAGGGAGGAGGGGAGTGGGGAGGCGGGCGGAGAGGAGGAGGAGGAGGAGGAGGAGGAGGAGGAGGAGGAGGAGGAGGAGGAGGAGGAGGGAGGAAAGAGGAAAGAGGGAAAGAGGAGAGGAGGAGGAAGAGGGAAGAGGGAGGAGGAGGAGGAGCAGGAGGAGGAAAAGTCTGCCTGCCTGCCTCCTCCTACTCTTCCCCCCCTCCTCCTCTCTCCTCCTCCTCCTCCTCCTCTTTCCTCTTTCCTTGCCAAGGGTACCCTTGCATCCTTGCCTCCAGGGTCCATCCTTGGCCAGTTTCGTTGGCCCTGCCCCGCTCGAACTGCTTCGAAATGGGCGTCCAAGGGCCTTGCATCCTTATCGCGCATCCTTGCTCTGCGGGTTGACTGTACCGGGCCTCGGGACCGTCCACAAAACGACGCAGGATGATAGGCCGGTCCCGGGGAACGGGTCCAGACCTCTGGGGGTCGACGTTGCGAAGAAATCACGACGTCGGGGGTTTGGGGCCCCGGTGGCCTCGCCTCGGCCCCACGAGGCGACTCCTCGATGCGATCGGCCGGGAAAGCAGCACATGTTGCCGCATAGCGATTTCCAGAGATGGCTTCGGCCAAGGAGGCTCGGTGGAGCTTCCGGGGTCCTCTTCAGTGCCCCGTCGCGTCGCGATGCCGGACGCTTTGGCAACCACGCCGCCCTCCTCCTCCTCCTCGTCCTCCTCCTCCTCCTCCTCCTCCTCCTCCTCCTCCCTCCTCACTCCTCACTCCTCACTCCTCCTCCTCCTCCCCTCCTCCTCTCCTCTCCTCCTCCTCCTCCTCCTCCTCCGCCCGCCTCCCCACTCCCTCCTCATCCCTCCTCTCCTCCTCTCTCCTCCTCCTCCTCCTCCTCCTCCTCCTCCTCCTTCCTCCTCCTCCTCCTCCTCCTCCTCCCCCTCCCCCTCCTCCTCCTCCCGCCTCAGCCTCGCCATCGCCCTGGGCAGCCTGACCCCGCGGTGCCCGCGCTGCGTGCGACCTCGGCCGTGCCGCGTGCGGCTCCTCGGCTTTTCGCGAGCTGGAGCTCCTTCTGCTGCCCTGCTCCACGGATCTCACTGGGAGACGCTTGCTCGACCTTCGTGTTAAGTCGGGCCTGTCCCCCTGCAGGGGGATTTTCGACGAGACATGAAAAATACCCTCCGAAAATAATCCAAAAATAGTCCCCAAAATGGTCTGGGGACAGTTGTTTGGGTATTTTTGACCTTCTTGGGGCATTTTGGGGGTATTTGTTATTTCTCTTCGGAAATCCCCCTGTAGGGGGACAGGCCCGACCTAACACTTGCTCGATCTTCGTGGCGAGCCGCTCGATCTTCCGCGAGCTGGTTCTCGAGTCCGCGCCGGGCTGCAGGGGCCGACGGGGGGCTCTGCTCGATCTCCTGCCGCCTGGCCGCCTCGATGGACTCGGTGGCTTCTCCCCGAGGTCGTGCAGCGTGCAGAACTGCAGCACCCTGTCGAAGCCAGCGACCTCCGTCGCCGACGCACCTCCTCCTCCTCCTCCACTGGGCTGGCCGCTGCTTCCCTCCGTTCCCAGGAGGGCCGAGGCCTCGGCCTGAAGAGACTCGATTCGTTGTTTAGGCTACTTGCTGCCGCCCCGTTGAGGTGGGCAGCGAAGCCGTGCCCCCACAACAGGAGCAATTGGAAACGAATGTTTAAGAGACTGCCCCCAGACCCCGCCAAAGGCGTCGCAAAGGTGCTAGACGAGCTTTTGCTGCTCTCCAGCCCGTTCTCTTAGCTGCCTGTTCTCGTGTGTGGCGGGCTTCGAACCCTCACCGGTACAAAGTTAAGTGCTTCGCTTCTTTAAGAACATGAACCCCGACAGCCGCCAAAGGCGATGCATAGGGGATAGATGAGCTTTAACCGCTCTCCAGTTTGTTCTAGTCCCGAACCCAGCGCTGAATCCGAGTCCAATCGCCTCCGCCATCGCGGGGCGACCCTGGGCCTGCAGCGCTCCTGGCCGCCTGGACCGCGCCAGCGCTGCACCTCTGCAGCCACGGCACCTGAGCCGGCTGGTCTGGTTGCCGTGCTCACCCCACCTGGTGCACTTCGAGGGTGGATACTTTCGGGGGCGGCGAGCGAGGGGGGGGAGTGAGAAGGAGAAGGCCTCCTCAGAAGGCGGCGGGACTTCTCAGAAGCCCTCGCGCCTTTTGAAAAGTGTTTTGTGTCTCCGGGGACTTCCCAGAAGGCCGGGCCGGGGTACTTCCGAGCCCTCTGAGAAGGCCGGCCCTCTCGCATTCCCCCCCGGGGCGCGCCGCCTACACTTGCTACACCCCCAAAGTGGATACTCGAGGTCTGGCAGGGCTTCGACTGCTCCGTGCTGTGTGCCCTGAGCGCCAGTCCACTGCGCGAGCGTGACATGGGCTCGCAGGCACGGATACGTGTGCTGACTTGGAGCACGCACCTGAAGCACCCTGGTGTGCAACCACCCCTGAGTGCACAACGGTCGAGGGAGGAGGGAGGCGGGCGGAGGGAGGTGGGCGGAGGGAGGAAGGAGGAGGGAGGAGGGAGAAGGAGGAGGAGAGAGGATGGACGAGGGAGTGGGAGGCGGGGGGAGCGCGGAGGGATGGTGGAGGAGGGAGGGAGGGAGGGAGGGAGGGAGGGAGCCGAGGGACGGGAGGGAGGGAGGGAGGAGGGAGGAGGAGGGAGGGAGGGAGGAGGGAGGAGGGAGGGGAGGGATGGAGGAGGGAGGGAGGGAGGGAGGGAGGGGAGGGAGGGAGGGAGGAGGAGGGGAGGAGGAGGAGGAGGAAGGATGGAGGCAGGAGGACGAGGAGGAGGAGGAGGAGGAGGAGGAGGAGGAGAATAGGAAGAGGGAAGAGGAGGCAGGATGAGAGGGAGGAGGAGCAGGAGGCGGAGGCGGAGGCGGAGGAGGAGGAGGAGGAGGAGGAGGAGGAGGAGGAGAGGAGGAGGAGGAGAGGAGGAGGAGGAGGAGGAGGAGGAGGAGGCATAGGGAGGAGGCGGGATAAGGGAGGGAGGGGGACGGCCGAGAGCATGCGCAGGCCAGCATGGTGAGCGCCGACCGCGAAAGCGGCCTGGTCTGGACGCTCAAGGAGCTCCGCTTTGCGTCCGCCGAGGGGGAGGGGGGAACGTGGGAGCGGCCGGCCGGGGATGGAGGAGGAGGAGAGGAAGAGGAGGAGGAGGAGGAGGAGGAGGAGGAGGAGGAGGAGGAGGAGGAGGAGGCCGAGGAGGAGGATGATGAGGAGGATGAGGAGGAGCAGGAGGCGGAGGAGGAGGAGGAGGAGGTGGAGGAGGAGGAGGAGGAGGCGGGGATGGAGGAGGAGGAGGAGAGAGTCGGAGTCGGGAGGAGGAGGAGGAGGAGGAGGAGGAGGAGGAGGAGGAGGAGGGAGGAGGAGGCGACGGAGGAGCAGGAGGCGGAGGAGGAGAGGAGGGTGGGGATCGAGATTCCAGGATCGAGGATCGTGGTGAGACTGGGGGCATCGAAGGTCGGACGTCTGGACGCTAAGGGAACTCTGCTTTGCGTCCGCCCCTTGGGCGGAAGGCGACGCGTGAGCGGCTGGGGATTGAGGGGAAGAAGTAGGAGGAGGAGGAGGAGGAGCAGGAGGAGGAGGAGGACGAGGAGGAGGAGGAGGAGGAGGAGAGGGAGGAAGGGGATGATGATGATGATGCTGCTGATGATGATGATGATGATGATGATGATCATGATGATGATGATGATGATGATGATGATGATGATGATGATGATGATGATGATGATGATGATGATGATGATGATGATGATGATGATGATGATGATGATGATGATGATGATGCTGATGATGATGATGATGTGATGATTGATGATGATGATGATGATGATGATGATGATGATGATGATGATGATGATGATGATGATGATGATGATGATGATGATGATGATGATGATGATGATGATGATGATGATGATGATGATGATGATGATGATGATGATGATGATGATGATGATGATGATGATGATGATGATGATGATGATGATGATGATGGATGATGATGCTGATGATGATGATGATGGTGTGGTGGTGGTGGTGGTGGTGGTGGTGGTGATGGTGGTGGTGGTGGTGGTGGTGGTGGTGATGGTGATGGTGATGGTGATGGTGAGGAGGAGGAGGAGTAGTGGAGTGGAGTGGAGTGGAGTGGAGTGGAATGGACACCGCTGCGGAGCAGGTTTGGGTACTAGGCCTTACGAGCATTCGAGCGTCGTGCCGTTACCTCGGCACGGCTCAGGACTTTGGGATTCAACCCCCGTGCAATCCTGTCGAGGTACTCTTGACCTGTAGAGGTCTTACGCTTGGAACACGGGCCTTTGAGGGAACGCAGAACCTTGTCCGCGATCGCCCCACACTCAGTGCAGAACCAAACCTGAAGGGTCGAATGAACATTCAGGGTGTGCGTGGTGTGGGCTCAACCCCCCGCGATATGGATTCGCGCCCCCTTCATCGGCGAAAATAAGACCCCATCGACATTAAATAACCTAGGACATTCGGAATCGACGAATTCTCGAACGGAGGCGATGGTCGCAGATCCGAAACACTTCAGGCATCGCCGCCCACATTCGGACAGGCGATGTTTGGAAAGAAGGGCGGGGACAATTGCAGCGGCAGGGGGGGAGGGGGGAGGGGGAGGAGGAGGGGCCTCACAGGAGCCACGGGGGCCTCGGGGCGCATCCTTCATCACTCGCTCGGCCTCTTGGCTGGCCGCAATGCTGTCAAGCGTTGCTCGCAAGAGCCTCAAACGTATGAGGTACGCCTTCCTCTCAATCATGAGAATGGGGTGGCGGGTGGCCGCAGACAGCCTCGCCTTGGCCGCTGCCGCCCCCGCGAGCTCGTCGGCGAGCAGGTTGTCGATCACCAGGTGCCTGTTCGCCCTCTGGGCGACGATGTCCTGGGCCGTACAGTGGGATGGTGTCCACAGCACCGCTATCTCACAGTGGTGCCGTGTCGCCATCAGGTCGCCGATGAGCTTCCACAGGTCGGCGTCCTCCCCTGTCGGGTGTAGGTAGGCCTGGGCGTACCATCCCGCTGCCACGTACTCGCAGTCCGTAGCGTACGTAGGGTATCGGTTCGTGCACCAGAAAGGTAGGCACAGGGCATACAGTTCGCCGCGTGCAACCACCTGCATCGGTCCACCTAGCTGGCCGAAGACTGTTCCATGTAGGGTGATGTCAGGTACAAGGCTCCGACCACAAACAATTGCAACTCCAATTCGCATGAAATCACGGACGCCTGCATCAGGTCCTCCATTGGCGTCGCCAAAAATCTCAACAGGCGAGTGCACACTGCCGTCGCCGAACATCCCTTGAGACGGTTCGTTAATTCCAGTAAACTCTAGAAGAATTTCGCGAGGGGGCTCAGGTACCTGGGTCCATGGCCGAGGGATGAGACCGCGCAGCCAGAAGCACTCAGTGGCTTCGGCCTGAGCTGCGGCCTCGGGGACCAGGGCCTCAGATCTCACGTACGGGGTAGAAGAAACATTCTTTTCGCACGTCCAGAAACGGTGGATGGCCGTCGCAGGGTTCCCCCGACACCTGTCACACAAGTTGTTGCCCTTGTATCCTTTCAGCTCGTCGCATCTTCGTTGCTTAGTCCAGAACCCCCCTTGTGGCGATGTTGACCATCAGCTCGCTCAGGCGGACACCGTGGGGTAGCTGGCCAATCTGCTTCAAGAGCAGCCTGAAATATCGGTTGCCGGTACCTTGCTCTGCACCTCCTCCACAAAATGGTTGTGCAGCTTTGCTCCAGACTACAAGTTCTGCCGAGCGATGCACATCCCGAAGCAGCTCACGATGTGTGTCTAAAAACTTATTCCCAGTGTATATGGAATCTGGAAACTCCCCAGCTTCTGTCGTCCCAAGCTGTGATACGTACGACCAAGTGTCCACGTCCTCAGGGCTCCAGTTGACGCGGAGGAGGGTGAGGATGGTGGCGGGCACACGTCCTCTCACAGCCCGAACTTGCTGCTTGGGGTCCAGCTGGCAACGATGATCTCGGATGATCGGCCATACCCTGCGGATACGATTGTCTAGCTCTAGCTTCTGTTGCCATACGTTGAGCCACATATCCAACGTCTTGACGGGCATGGCAATAGCTGGGTCGCCTCCTGGTGCTCGTAAGTCGAGAAGAGTACTTAGGCATCTGCCTCGGGTGGCCGCAGCACGCGTCTGGCCCAGGCGCCTTCGGTGGATGTTCAGCTGCTGGCCGAACATACTGTGCACCTGGAAGCCGTATGACCCCGCTGGTTGGCCCCCGTTGCGCTCAAGGCGCATCGTGATGCCGTAGCGGCGGGTGGCCCTGCTGAACCTCCTCACCTTCTCGTTCATCATGCCGTGCTTGGTCTGGCGTTGCACCCTCGTCGCTCTGCCCGTCTTGCCGCAGCTTAAGTCGACCCCCAGGTAAGGGGGCTTGCACCATGGCCTTGTCAGGGTAGCCCTTCAGCTTGGCCGCCCTCGCCACAGCACGCGCATCAGCAAGGTTGGAGCACATGACCACGGACTTCTTGGCGAGCTTGAGGCCTGCCTTGGCGAGCTCCTGGCCCGTCTTGACTACGCCTAGAGCAAGATTAGATCTAACCGCATGCCGGGATCCTGTGATCTTCTAGCAAACGTCGTCGATCCACGCGCGGCGGGTCATCATCGGGGTCGCTGTAATAACCGCCTGCAAAACAAAGTGGGTAAGTATTTTGGCAGATCGAGTGCCTCCTCGCAACCCTTGAATCACCGACTGGCTGGGCTCAAAGGGCGTGCAGACCGCCCCTTTCTGAGACAATGTGCGCGCAGCCACGCATTGGAGCAGCTCCAAGTACAAGATGGCGGGGGGGAAATGCAACCGAAGGGCAGCCTTGGCCAGGGCCGCCCATGGTATGGAGTCATAGAATTCTTGTATGTCCAGGAGGCCTTGCCCAAACTCCATGCGCAGCCAGTGCGCCAGTTCTTCGTCTATGGCATGGAGGTACGCCTCGCGTGGGCAGGAATTTCCCGCGATAGCTGCGTCCCCCGCCCAACCCTCATCTTTGCTCCATTGCTTCGCGATATGTTCTCGAACGCGTGACCAGATTCGTCCCAGCATTGATATCATTTCCATGCCTCGATCCCCCTGGGACTTCTTGGGGGTCAGGGAGGTGGCGATGAGCTGGGTCTGCGCTGGCCAGGCTAACAAGCTCTCTGCATTACGCAGGATGTCAGTGAACTCGGTCATGGCCGCCAGCGGCAGGCGTTGGTCGTCGACGGGCCTGAGGACGTCGACTCCCAGGCCCGCCTTGGCCTTCATGGCCTTGGCACTGGCGTAGACGAGGTCAGGGGTCAGCTCGGGGAGGGAATCAGATTGAGCAGCGTCGTGGATGATCCGAAAGACTTCTTTGATCTCGCCTGCATCAGGGGGTCTCGGGGCCCGCGTGCTTTTGAAGGCCTTCGCCTTGTGGTCCGTGATGTCCGCTGGGTGGACGAGGGCGTGGTCACCGACCTCCACCTCGGGCGGAGGCAGTCGGCTAGCCTTCAGGGCCTTATGTAGCATGCCCACAGCTTTCGGGTTGGACCGCGGACGTCTTAACACTGGCAATGGAGTCGTGTGCTGCGGCCCGCTGTGCTCGGCCTGCAGCCCTCTCATGGCTGCGATAGCGAAATGCTCGAGCATGGGCAGGGTCAGCCTCGAAAGGGTCTCCGAGGACTGCCAGCCATTGATCCCGCGGAGCCTCTCGGCCCCCGCGTTCAATATCGCGTGAACTCCCTCTGGTCGGGAGTGTCGTGACATAGTGCTCGCATTGGCGTGCTCCTGTTGCTGTCGGCCGCCATTGCCCCTGCGCGTGTGTCGGTAGACGCCCGCCAGCACCGCGTGCACCCGTGTCCACCATTGGCTACGTTGATCCTGAAGGGCCAGCTCTCGAACGTGAGCCGTGACCCTCAAGGGCTTCTCACAGAAATTGGGCCCATTCGATCGAGTGGTCCCAGGCGAGGGCCTGGCATGGTGATGCTTATGGAAAACCTTCTCAACAGCTGTGACCCAAGTTGCGCGCTGTCCCGTGAGAGTAGTACTGCTCTCAGGTTCGAGCGAAAAGGCTACGGAGGAGGAGAGGCCG